GGCCACCCCCCCCCAGCCAGTCCGGAAGATGGTCGTGGACCAGCTGTGAATTTGACATTGACGTGTCCAGTCTACCTGGTCCGGTAATGAGACAAGCAGATGGCGTGTTTCAGGAACAAAATCCAGAGTCACGTGATAAGTATAGTTTGAACCTGGGGAGAAGAGTGGTGGACATATGTCGGTGCGTGTTTACCTGATAATCTGCCTCTAGCTAAATGCTGTGTTTGCAGAAGCGTGGCGTCTGTTGGTCTCTGTTGTCTTTAACTTACATCCTTTGTTGACTGTATCTGGGTAATTTCGTGTTACCAAGAAAAAAAAAAATCACAGATATTTTGGAAAAGAAGTATGGTAGACACACAAAAAGAGCCACCTCTGTGTTGTACAACTTCAAAGATCATTACCAACAGCAGCATTTTTTCTTTTAAAAAAACATGATGCTACTGTACATACATATCATGGCTACTCATACCTTTGGGTTTTGCGGCTCCTACAAAACCAGTCAGTGAAAATGCCACCCAGCCGTGAATGCCCTTTACTATACCTGACATTTTTCAAGATGACAGTTGTCATTATTTCCTAACCTCCATGCTGACACCCTTGAATGAGCAGTGTCGAAACCCCTTAGGCAAGACTGCTCAGTTCTTCACGGGTTCTCCAGCCACAGCTGCACCGAAGGGTGGAGGGCGAAGGTAAGACCTCAGTCACAGTCAGCCGCATTTGCACAGGTGGTGATAGCGCGTGCAGCCGCCTTCTCAGTGACAGATGACGGCAGGAAGAGAAATGATCTCACTGTCATTTTTATGGTTGAATTAAAAGACAACTTCCTTTCACCTTTAGGTTTAGGAGAAGATACTGGGTGTTGTTGACTGAGTCTTCGTTTAATTTGGAGTAATAAAGGAAGGGGAGGATGGACTTTGACTTTTTCAAAAGTATTTCCCCCCCAAGGAGTGATCGTGCTGGCATTTTGATCGGTTTTACACATCATATATGCGATAAAACCTTATCTCATAAGCAAATCAAATCATTGTCCATTATTTAAAGCCAACAAGACAGTGTAACAGTTTTAAGCTCAAAAATGTTAAGTATTGTATAGAAATATATTGGAGGCAAAGTTCAGTTGATGACAATTGTGTATATGTTACTGATGCTGTAAATTATTTTTAATAAAGAAAATTGTATTATCACATTTGACTCTTGTTATAAAATACTCTTTGATGAGTGAAAACAAAACACTATGAGTTAAAGAGAAATAGGACACCATGTAGACATTTCTCCTCCAGCCTGGTCTCCGAATGTTCCGAATTGCTAATTCCCGGTGTGTGCCAGAACGTGGACCATTGTCATTCTTATCTACATTTTCCAGATTCTTTGTACTCTTGGGCTCTTGAGATTGAAAACCAAGGTAAAGCTTGAAATAAGGATAGTCTCAAGAAACAAGTAAAGTTGATTGATTCAAGAGTTGTTCCAACAGATTGTGGAATCACATTTTAAGAGTTGAAAATACTAACCTTTCATCCAGAGCAGGATCTCTTGTGCAAATTAAATCTCACTGGGCAACTTTTTCTTGAACATTCAAGAGATTTCTTGAACACTGTCTACTGTGCTAGGCAGTTTCTTGAATACTATGTACTGTGCCACTGACTACAGTTTTAGAGGTTAAAAAATATTTCAGGCCAGGCAGTGGCATAATCGTTAAGACAGTTGGATCCCATGTGGCCAACTTCATGGTTGGAGTCCCAAACCCAGAGACTTAAGAGAAAACACTAGGTGTGTGTGTGCCCAAAATCCTAAGAGGACAGGGAAGGAGAAGGGATTGTGGCATAGCCATCCCCCTTGGAGAGTGATTTCTCACTTTCTCTTTTTCTGTCTCTCCATGGAATGCATGTGCCCTATAGCAACAACAACAAAATTCAAGCTAAAGTTTGCCTCTTTCTAGCTTATACCCACCAATTTTGGTTCTCCCTAATCTGTTCTCCTTAAAACACTTCTACTTTGTACAACTAAACACTAAATATATACTCTAAACATATAAGACCTCCATAAATTGTGTTGCACATAACCTTACTGCAGACATTGCTTTTTCTTAATTCATGATAGAGCATGTACAAATGAGAGAGACACCCCCCGCCCCCATGGCCTGGTCACACAGTGATACTCAAGGCTTCCAGCTTCCCAGGATCTGGGGTACATGCACATAATGCTGGCATGTTTTCAGGCCCCCCCCAACCTAGGACTCGAACCACGATCAGCATATGGCTTTCAGCTCTGCAGTGCAGTAAGCTCCTTGCTGCACCATGGAGGCCGGGCCCACACTACAGGTCTTTTAGTAGGGATGTAATCTATGTTAAAGTGACTTTTAGGACAGACTTGTAGGTCTCATGCTATGAATTCCCTTTTGCAGGACAAAGTGGCCTCATGCAGGTTAGAAGTGCTATGTGTTCTCGAGCCTTGGATCTGCAGGACTGGAACTCGAAGCTGCCTGCTCCCTCTGCTGTCTGTTGATGGGTGAAAGAAGTCATCTGAGGCTAGGGGCCAGAATCACAGGTCTTGTTGCTTATACTTTGTAAATATGGTCAGCTCTCCCCTGTTCTAAAAAGACAGGTCCTTTCTCCTGTTTTTATTTTTAGATTTTTGCTATAGGGTGTATGCACTTTGGAGAGACAGACAGAGGGAAAAGAAATCACCCCCAAGGGGAGTTTGCCACACAGCATTCCCCGCCCACCATTTTCCTGGTATTTGGAGCACACATGTACACGTGCCTAGCCTGAGTTTCAAGCTATCAAGTTGGGGACTCAAACCATGGTTCACCATGTGGGAATCCAGTGCCTTAACCACCACCCCACCTACTGGCCCCTTCCTACTCTTTTTATTTTTTTAATAAGTTTTTGTCTTAGATGCATGTGCTCCCCACAGACAGACAGACGGATAAAGATGCAACGAGGGGGAAAGTGAGAAGTCACCCTTCAGGGTAGATGGCCATGCTGCAGTCTCTTCTACATTCTCCTCCAGGATCTTGGGCACATGCGCACATACCCCCTGCATGATTTTGAAGCACCAGGTCCAGAACTTAAGCTGTGATCGACCATGTGGGAGTCCAGCAACATAACCACTATTCAGTCTGTTGGTCTCACTCTCCTATTCTTTAGCCATGAATGAAATGAATCATTTTATTTATTAAAATTTGACACTCATAAGCCAGAATTGGTACATTATTAGTTTTCTAAGGATTCCCATTTAGTATTGTAAGAATGCATTTCAGAGGTTAATGCCAACGTGGGCACATGATAGTTTGAATGGTGTTGCGTTTAGTTGGTTTACAGTTCATACTTTATGCCATTTTTTTAAAGAATTATTTTTATTATCATCATCATTTTATTTTTTAATTTAAGAGACAGAGAGTGATGGGAAGTGAGAAAGCAAGCCACCAGGTCTGGCACTCAAACCACAGTCTGCCATGTGGGAGTCCAGCAGCCTCAACCACCTCAACCACCTGCCAGCCTCGCCAGTTGTTTTGCCGTTTTTTTTTTAAAAGAGATTTTTGTTCTAGGGCATGTGTGCTCGCCAGAGAGACAGAGAGGTAGAAACAGAAATCACTCCCCAGAGGGATGGCCACACTGCAATCCCTTCTCCATTTTCCTCTCAGGATCTTGAGCGCACACGATGTGAGGTTTAAGCTGCCGGGTCCAGGACTGAAACTGTGGTTGACCATGTGGGAGTCCAGCAATGTAACCATTCCACCATTAGGTGATCCTCCTAGTTTTCTTTTTAATTATCACTCAGTTTAGCTTTATCTTTATCATCTTGATCAGTCAGTGGCTGACAAATTTTCCAAAATAGACTGTTTAGCCTGTGTTTGGTATACTTGGAAAACATGAATGCAAAAGCAGATGTGTGTGTCGTCCCCACAAGATCGCCTGTATAATGACTGTCACTGTGACTTTTGTGCTTGCACAGTGTTACAACTGAATTTGGGGCATTTTAAGCAATTTGCGGTATACCGTTCATACAAATATGGGATTGTTTTGTTTCAGAGGACATTATAAAAGGAAATCTTATCTATGATGTTACTGCAAACTTCATTTTGCCAATTTTTTAACTTTTTTTTTTGCTAGAGGTCACATGTACTTGCCAGAAAAAGAAAGTGGAAAATCACCCCTGCAAGGAGAATGGTCACACTGTGATTCCCTAGTATTATGGGCATACACACACGCACACACCTGTTGTGTTTCTCAAGCCACTGAACTGTACAGTCTGCCGTGTGAGATCTAGCGGCCTTAACCACCACCACACTCAGTTTTTTGTCTTCATTTTTTAAAACTTTTTAAATTTTAACTGGATTTACTTTATGCAATACACACACGCACACCCTTGTTGTTTTTCAAAAGCCACTGAACTGTACAGTCTGCCGTGTGAGATCTAGCGGCCTTAACCACCACACTCAGTTTTTTGTTTTCGTTTTTTAAAACTTTTTAAATTTTAACTGGATTTACTTTATTTCATTTCATTTTAATTTGACCAGAGAGGAAAGGAGTAAGAGAGAAAGCAAGAAAGCAAGCCGCCAGGTCCGGGACTCAAACTGTGGTCAGCCATGTGGGAATCCAGCACCCCCAACCACCACACAACCTGCCATTTTGTGTTTTTGTTTGTTTTTAACTCTCTAAGGGCCACTACTTAAAGTGTGGCCAGGTGGAGAAGAAAGAAATGCCAGTTAAACAATGACATGACTTTTCTGTGTTAAGGTTGCTGGACCTTTTACTGTGACATCCAGTGTTGGCACTATTGAGGAAAAAGAATTTGGCAGCATGCAATAAGAGTCTAACGTGTTCTTTCTCTTATATCCAATGATGTAACTAAGCAGTTTACCTTAAAGACATAACTTAAAATGCACACGATTTATGTATGAGGATGTTCTCATATGCTTGGGAATGCTCAAAGTGAAAAGAGCAAGTTCCAAAACATTTCCAAAGAAGGTGGAAGGGGTGAAATGGACACATGCCCAAGAAGGCAATTGTGGATCTAGTGGCCCTGGCTCTTCATCCCTGAAGGATTTCCAGATTCAACCTTTGCTCCCACCCCCTCTTCCCAAGAGGACGAGAAAAGGCAGGCAGACCAGCAGGTGGAATCATGAGAGATGGTGAGGCCAGCAGCTGTGTGAAGGAACAGCATGCACAGGGGCCTAGAGGGGCCCATAAGGTTCCAATCCAGTCACAGAAATCAGTCCGAGTTACTCACTGACAACCTAAAGAAATACTAAGTACACACCCCTGGAGCTGTAAAGAGACAGCTGCTACTTGGAGATTAGAAGTGAAGGAGAGAAGAACCATATCTAAAGGGGGGAAAGGCATCCCCCAGCGGAGAGCCGGTGGTGGTGTGGGCTGTTCGAGTCACTCTGGGTGACTGAAAACCAGAATGTGCTACATCCTCTCACCACAGATAAAGTGGGGTGTGCCTCGCCCATACAGAATAGGGACCACAGTGCAGAGCAGACATGAGCAGACGTGTCCAGAACGCCCCTCCAGCAGAAGAAAGTACTCTGACCTATCAGAAGCCCTGCTTGGCCGGAGAGGACATGGAGCCATGGACCCTTGAGCCCTTCCCTTGGCAATCAAGAACGTCCAATTAACCTAGCATTCCATGAACCCTAGGAAGCATCCTGAAAATCGTGTGGTTTCTGCAGACTCGCCTTCAGGGTGAGACTCCACTACCTAAATAAGGATTCTGGCACAATTCTGTTTTATATCTGTGTAAACGAGACATTCATCACAAAGACCAGAAGGACAGGGACCTCACCCCTGGGAAACACGGGGCAGCCTTCACTCTGCCTCTCTGTCTCTTATTGTGGATAAAATGGCTTCAGAGAGTAGAAGACTCCGTGCTGTGCCCTCCCCACCCAGGCTTCAGTTTTCCCGTCACTTACAAGGACGTGCAGGCCTGTTCGTTAAATAGGACCATTTCAGGTTAGAACGTTCTACAATAGGAAGAACGAAGCCAGGCGGAGCTCTCAGGACCTCCAATCCGAACCCTTAAAGTTCCTGGGGCCGGTGGACTCAAGCCCACTTCGACCCGCGCTTTCTGTAAGTGGAAAAACCTCCAGAATACGTGCTTCCAGCAGGAACGGGAAGGGAAGACGAGGAAAGAAAACCACCGACGCGAGTTACACCGGGACGCTCAAGATGTTGAGAAAAGTGGTCCTGTCTACGTGAACTGGACGGAGGTGAGAGATGCCACTCAAGAACTGAAAACCTGCTAAATGGCTACTCGCCGGGTGGGGCGGAGCCTCTTGGAGCCAATGAAAACAAATTCTGTTTAGTAAAAAATATGTCTGAATTCTGACTGGACTGTTCACCCGGAGAAGGTGGGACCAGAATTGCAGTATCCAATCAGAAACCCTATTTTTACATTTCTGTTCGTCTCTGGGGCGGGGCCGGGGCGGGGTCCGGGCGAGGTTTGGAAAAGGCCTGGTGGACGCAGGGAGAGCGTCGCCTCCCTCCCTGTATTCGGTGCTGACTGGGAGGCGAGGGATTTGGAGGAGCCAATCAGAAGCCAGAGTTCTTGGGGCTCCGGAGGAAGTGGACCCGAGCACTGTGGCTTTGGCAACTCTTCCTAGTGCGGAATCGCCGCCGGAATACCTGGCTGCTGGAGAGCGGATCCACCCCAGGACGTCGGGTCGTTGCGCGGGTGAGCGGAGGTGGGGAAAGCAGAGGCAAGCCCCGAGTCCCCTTAGGGTGGACACCCCGAGAGCAGGGAAGCTCGCTGCGTGGCTGGAGCTGGGAGTCCTGTACCCCGATGTCCTCCAGCCCCGGCTGCATTCAGACTCCCTGTGAGCGTGAGGGCAAGTCACTCTCCCCTCTGGTTCCCACCTGTGACCCAGAAGTGCTGGCTGAGATCCGGAATGAAAGCGTGCCACCTGAGAAGCCGTTCGGTCTAACTTCCGAGACCTGTGTCCAGACACGCAGAGCAAAGGTGCAGCGCTTGGCACTCCAGGCCAGGAGTCTGGCGGGAAAAGTTAAGGCTAAGTTTACACCAAACAACTAAAGCTAAAACAACGACCACGTGAACCTGATTTGGGTGCCCTCCACCTCCTTTAGTTTCCTCTTGATTCAGCAAGCCTTCTGCCGCCCACTCGCCCACGATTCTTTTCTTTTCCCTAAGAGAAAGACCCTTACAGCAGCCATAGTTCCTTGTTGTCTTTGAAAAATTAGATTCTAGATTCTTCCCCTTACTGTTTCCTGATTCTCCTTGGGCGCCACAGTCTAGTGAGCCTGTGGTGTAAAGGGCAACCCTC